AAAACAAGCATCTATTAGTGGTGAGGTGATTTCATCCATCTCATTCCTTTTGCTAATCATGCTTTGAAACTTTAAAAAAAACCTTCAACATCATGTGAAAGTTTAATTGTAAAAGTATTTTTGTGTATAGAGGGAACAGCATGGAAGAAACATGATTTACTCACCTAGGAAAAGTGTTTGTCAGTTGTAGGCTTCACTGCAGATTAAACTTTTGCATTGGTAAATACAGAAGCCGGAAAATGTATATATACAATGTAAAGTAGGGTTGGTGATCCAGTCGTGGGTTGGAGAGGAGGGATTCAGTTCAGAAAGGTGACGGTCACCGTTGGGTTAATGTTGCTCTCCTTTGCAGGTTATAGGTGTTCATTCAGAGCAACCCATTGGAGAGATTATTTATTTTAGATGGAAGAAATTAACTTTGTGATATGTAATAGCTGCAGAGCAGCTTGGGAAACTGGTGATATATCACATATGACACAATGGTGAGGCAGTGCAGCCCATAGGGATTATGACATATTGCTGTGAATATTCAGAGCTGCTCTTTCCAAAATAGCAGAATGCTGCTGTACCTAGAAAAGTCAGGAAGGATAACTTTTGTTCTGAGAAATACTGATTTGAGAGGACACTAAGAATTATTTAAAGATTATTAATTTATTGAGCTGTAAGAATGTCTGAACCAAGAAAGGGCAAGGACAGTATTTCAGCCTCCAGCCTCTCTCTCTTCCTTTCATAAAAATTTGGTATCTGTCTCTGATCCACCTTTGAGAAACAGGGGTTTTTTTTGAGCTACTTCTGAAAAAGTATGTAGACCTGAATTATCAAAGCAAATATGCAGTAACTTGATTCCCAGTGCAGCTGATCCTTAAATAACTGGTCTGTGTACCACATAAAAGAAGTCATTTATGACACAAAAAGCTTATTTGACTTTGACCTCTGTTCTGAGTGAAAGATCCTTTTTTTTATCAATCCAGTAAATCATACCTGATTAGAATAGAGCTTTCTAAAGTAACTTAATTTACTTCTTCAACAAGGAGCATTCATTAAAAAGAAAAAAAAACATTTCTTTTTCTAATACTTTTGGCCACATCATCCATTGCATCAGGTGCAGCTGTATGGGAGGCAAGGAATTTTGTAAGCCAGAATTTTGGAAGTATGTGAAGTAGTCTGTTGGAAAGGAAGAGGAGGTAGTTCCCTAATTTAAGTTTCTGAAGTCCATCTTCTATTACTAGGGTTTCTGCTGAGATCTGTTGAGAGCTTGTGCATAGCCAGAAACTACTCAGCAAGGTGTTGAGCTGTTCAGCATGTTAGGCTCTCAAAATCCGTCAGAAAATGGGGAGCTATGTCTGTAGAAAACAAACTTTGTCTGTATCTTGTTCGTTCTCACACTGATGGGGAGTCTGGAGCCATATGTTAAGGTACAGTATCACAGAAACCATGCTCTGTGACTGGCTCTCTAAACCCACCAGATTTGAAAGACGCCTGTATTGCCTTTTAATTTATGACTGAACAAACATTAACCACGGCTTTTAAAAAATACAAACTTTCACTGAACACAGAGTATGTATGTCTGGCAAGGGATCTTTAATCTGTTTGGGTAAAGCACAAGTGATCTGGAAAAATACGACTAACTCCAAAGTCAGACTCCCTCTTCTCTGAAAAGCCTGTGTTGCCTGTTTATTTGACAGTAAATGAGGACCTGACACAATTTAAAAAAAATAAAAAAAAAGAGGAACTCCAATCTCAGCTAAAAAATTTTTGAAAGGTGATACCATCTTTTATGTGATTGGAAAGACAATGGATAAGTGTCAGTAGCGCTTTTAGTAACTGGCCTTGAACTGATTTTTAACTGTCTGTCTTTGCCCAGGTCTTTCAGGACTGCAGACTCTTGCTTCCCAAATCAAATATCCCTATATGAACAGTATGGATTATTGACATTAAAAACGCTGTGCCATCAAAATAAAGTTAGAGATTCTCAGACAAGTTCTGATGCTGTTTACTTGTTAATCTCTAAGCAAGGGGTGTTTTTTGAGTATCTTGCCTATAGCAATAGCTGTATTTCAGTAGAAATTCAAACAAAGGGATATGAAACACATTTATCTTTCAATCCCCTAGAAATGTACCGTTCTTGTAAATACAACTGTAATATAAAATTCTGGTTTAACTCAGCTGTAGTGGTCCCACTGAAAGCAAGAAAACATGTGAAATTTATGTTATGAAAATTCTAGAGAAAGCAGCAATGCCAGCTCCAAGTACATATGCATTTAAAAAAAAAAAAAAGATGAAGATGCCACAGGGAGAAAAGCAGTCTTGAGGCAATCCTAGGAATGTCATGACTTAGGATAATTCTCTCCCAGGCATTGCAAAAATTTTAGGCAATTCTCAAAATTCTGAATTAATTACTTGTGGGAAATTGCTTTTTTGAGATGATAATTGTAACTGTTCCTGTATATAAAACTCAATTGTGCTCTTATCATACAGAGGAGAAAATTATCTTCATTCTGCTCAAACATTTTTACAGGCTTATTGCAGAGAATACTGTCTCTTTTTAATACAGAAAGCCTGAAAATTCACTGTCCTCCTGCAGCTTACTCTTCCCACAACCTGAAAGAAGAGCATTTCCTTTCAAATAATTTCCTGCAGTGATTTCTGAAGCTTGTTCAGTAAGGCATTGTCATTTGGTGTGATAAGGCTTTAAGAGATTTTATAAATGAATGATTTGTATGTTAGTATCAAAACCCTGTTCTGTCCAGCCAAACTGTACACCCTTGGGTACCCATAAGTCATCACCTAAGTAGTCGTGAGCTGCTTTAATCTGAGAACTTTTCATAGTTTTATATTTGGAAATGTTAATAAACCCCCAAATAAAATCTTAATCTGAATTTAAAATGGGTTAGAGGTTTTCATCGTCTCCCCACACTGTTTCCACCACTATGGTTTCCTACCTTATCCGGCTGTTACAGCGCTTCATTAGGATTCAAATTTGTCTCTGCTAAGTTCAGATGAATAAATTAGACTTCATTACGCATAATTTACTATGAATTGAACAGACACCGAAAAAAAGCCAAAGACTGTAATGACTTATTTACATTTTTCTAAGTAAATTGTGATGATATTCTGTGTATCAGTTTTCTGTACAGCTTCTGAACACAGATGATGTTACAGAGCAGAAGAAAAGAAAATGGTACATTACAATTTTTGCCATTCATTTTATTCATGAGCTGGATACTTTGATCAAATTTCTTTACTGTTCTATTGTGTGTCCCAAGAGAAAGAATATTTCAAGTGTTATTTGGCAGTAATTAAACATATTCCAGAATTGGTGTGTTTTGTAGAAATCATTAAGCAGTTAATATCTGTATTTGTGAAAGATGTACTCTACAGTATGTGGGGATAAATCTAGTAAAATTAGCAAGACTAGCATGTGTCTGTTTTTATTGAGAGATGAGGCCTGTTCATGAGTTGAGCAGCACAAATATGTTTGACCCCAGCTTTATATTGTCTGTATTCTCTTGTGGCCTCACGGGGAAGGTGGGAGTTCAGTAGCTTGCCAGTCTGCATTGGGAATTTGAAGGTATGGGGCTTGAGGTAAAGATCTTTCGCAACTTTGAGCACAGCGGAGCCATTGGCTCACTTATAGGCAGGCCTACATGTGCACATTTATATGTAATCAATATGAAATTAACACGAAATCACAGAAGCTATACTCATACTCTGATGGCCAGAAGAGTCTTGTCTGCACACAGTAAAATAATGAGGGAAGTCTGCATGGGGAAAGCAAGGGTAGGAAGAAACTGCAGGAGCAACAAGCCAAGCCTGTTCGGACCCGTTCAGCTGAATCATTCAGAACAGAGCTAGCTGATGTGGCAGGGAAGATTACCTTCTTTGCTCTAATCACAGCTCTGTTAATCAAATTATTTGTTCTTCAGCTTTTGTGGAAAAAAATAAATTATTTTTTAGGAACAAAGAGTTTGGGACAGGAATATAGAAAAAAAAGTGCTGCAATTATTTTGATAAAAGAAGTGAAGCTTTTTGTGGAGTCATACATTTTTAGTGCACATAGCTGGGAAACTGTCAAGAGTGTCCTGAAAATGTAAAATGTTGTTTCCTGCCTGCAGTTGAACCATCCTCCCAGGAAGCATTTTGTAAATTACTTGAATAGAAAATAGATGTGAAAACAGTTCAAGTCAATTTGCTTTAAACATTCAAACACCTTTGTTATTATTTTCACCACTTAATGCCTTTTCCTTGTCTTATGTAGGTACATTAAACGTAATTTCTGAATATCTTCCTAAAAATGGAATTTACTTGGGGTATTTTGTAATATTTTAGTCTTTGAAAATCTGTAATGCAGTTTTGGTTCTCACTTCTGTGCTTCCTGTACTCATTCAATGCAGGTCATCAACTGTTCCAGTGTTATAAAATGACTGATTTGGATCAGAATTGCTCTAAAGTACAAACGATATCCAAAGAATGAAAAAACTCACTCATTCTCTCATTCTTGCTGTACAGTAACTGTATGTACAGCAATGAAAATAGTGTTACGGAGCTCTTAACTGTGGTGTGCTGTTTGCAAAGGGTAGCTGAAGCTGCCTGCCACCGTGTGTCTGGTTTGCCGTCACAAAAGACCAGCTTCATTTGTATAAAATGAGAAACATTGCTGTTTGCCAGCTTGTTATTATTAAGTGTTGTTACTAAAGTTATTAAGTTATTATTATTATTAAGTGGTGTTACTAAAACTTGTCATGATCCAAGTAAAAGTGGCTATGTGTCACCTGTAGTCTCCAAAGGCTGTTAAAGACGTGCACAAATAAGGGGTAAGAACTGCACATTAGAATTACAACAGCTGTGTTCATTTCTCACTTACGTCAATTTGTGATCAGACTTCTGAACTGGCTGTGTTGAGGAAAACTTCAGTTCTGTATCAGATCACATGAGCTGTGTTGATAGCAAGGTCAACCTCTGCATCTCTTTAAGATTTTGTTTTGTATTTTACCTCTCAGGTTGGTACAAGAGGATGTGGGAATGGACATCCCCTTTGCTGAGGGTGTATTAAGCCCCGGTTCTACAGAGATGAGACCCGGTGAGAGAAGTTCTTACTCATTTTCTTAATTATATCTTATACGCTTGGCATTTAATTATTCAGTGAGAAGGATGTTTCTGCGCTGGTAAAGAAACAGTTCAGTGTTAAAAAGTGTTAAGTTTGCTTTATTTAGTCAATTTTCTTCTTCACTTAAGAAATGATAATTGTAGTGTACCATTTTCTCTTGTGCATTGTTGTCATCAGTTGTTTAGTCCTTGTGAATTTTAAATAGTATCTATTATTTATCTTATATTTGACTACTGTCTAAGTGAACTAAGTTAGCATTGGAATACTTCAGACTGAACAGCTTGAAATGTGCCACACAGTGCAGTGGCAAGGGGCAAAGCCATACCTAGCTTTTGTCTTTTTGAGGACTACTTTTATTTAGGACTGATTAAGAGACTTAGAGGTATTTTTATTTCTGTTGTTGTATTGAATAAGATATTGTATAGTTAAAACTAAAGACATAGCTATTTGCAAATCAGCACCATTCTAACAGCAGCAAGTGCGTAAGAGAACAAATATTTTCACTCATAGTAATTTCTCCAGGATTCGGCGATGTCTTGGTTCATAACTTAAATTATTTGTATATTGCTCTTTAAATTCTTAAACATTGTGGGTCAGAGCATGTCCAAGGCTTGATTTTTGTCTGCAGATTGCAAAAAAGTGCATCTGGATTTTGCATAATTTAAGAGCTCGCAGCTACATCTGCCATTACTGTAGATGCTTGTTGTATTTCTTTAAACATTAATATTGATATTTGTGTTTTGTGTTATATGGTGTTAAATGGCTTGGTGTTACTAAAATTGATCTGTCCCGGTGTGTTTGAAAGTGATTCTTAAATATTTGGGAGACAACTTGTACGCAGAGGAGATAAAATTCTTTTTTTCTTTCTCTTTTTTCAGAACCTCCTAATTCTCTTGATCTTAACGGTTCCCATCCCAGAAGGATAAAGCTCACTGCTCCAAATATCAATCTCTCTTTGGACCAGAGTGAGGGGTCTGTACTTTCTGATGATAATTTGGATACTCCAGATGAAATTGACATCAATGTAGATGACCTTGACACTCCTGATGAAGCAGATTCTTTTGAATACACTGGACAAGGTAATGTTCTGGATTGAAAATGCAGAGTTCACCTCTGTTTCTTTCTTTACTGCTTGCGTGATCAGTCTCATGTCTGTCAGGCTATTAATATGGTTAAAGCATTTGAAAGTTAATGCTAGGAGTCCACATATTTTTACTGTCTGCTATATTTTAACCTTTCTTCCCCTCTGTAAAGTCAGAGAGCTGAAAGTAGTGATACAGGTGGTCAAATAAAATAAGAAGAGCTACTTGAAGAGAATCAAATTCAAAGTCCTGTCTTTGTCCAGTACCATAGGACTTGCCTGAAAAGAGTGGTCCAAGAAGCAGAAAGCAGTTGCTGTCTGTTGTAGAGAACAGTACAGCTAACTGCACCTCCGTGTAGCTCTGGCCAGCTCTAGATTACGGTTACATCAGTAGTACTTCGGGATATAACCTTTTGCAAAATGCGTTGGCTGACGTAAGCTGCACCAAAGACCTTGCAGTGCATAAATGAAGTAGACACAGTGTGGTGGTAGAGGTCCTTTGCTAGTGAGAAAGGTCTTTTTATATCCATGGAAAGCTGAGGCATGGAGGGTGTATGCCGGGCAGGATAAAGCTAGCTTAGGTGATGGAACAAGAGAATTCCTCATTCCAGTGATTTAAATATGCTCTCTCAGCAGGGCTAGTTCTACACTGTACAAATACACACTGAAGAGTGCAATGGATATTTCAGTCTTCCTGTAAAATTGTTTTGCACTGTCTCACTCGTTTTACTTACCCTCACGGTGTACGAAATAGGGTGTTGAACACTCATTGCTCGCTGGTACCTTAAGAACCATATAAGAACTATATTCATTAATGTAAATACATAAATATCATGAGCTATTTGAGGGGACAATGAGTGTGACCATTTTACAATCTACAACAGGAAGAAACTTTAAAAATGGATCCATTTAAACGGAATTTTCCCTTGCATTTAAATTCTCTATTGCTAGTGAGGTCACTATAATTTAAAAATTGTATGCTCTTTTGAGCATACGAGAACCGTTGCATCAGTTTAAGTGATACTGCTAAAGAGGCATTACTGTGTACTCAATCATGCATGGGCGTCTCTAATGTCACTTCTCATTAGAAGGCCGATTTCCTTATGGGTAGATGCAGAGCATAGTGATGAGCTGCTTGATGGTTAGAATATTTTGTAGCAAAGGTTAAAACTAACACAAACACACACACACACACACACTCTCACACACAGAGCAGTGTGTGCTTGCAGTTTTAGGCTGTTGTGGCCACTGTGTGAGTCCAAAAATCTCTCTCTGCAGTGGAACAGATTTTGCCTTTAAGCCCTCAAGCAAATAAATTCAACTCCAATGATTTTGGCAGCAGTTATATTTATGGCAAGCATTTCTTCCCAGCTTTTTTTTGTTGCTTTCTACATTTATTTGCTACGGTTGGACCAGTTTCCCCGAACTCCTAAGTGAAGAAGAAGTCAAGGTGCCCGTGTTTTTGGTGACATTTTTACAGTTGTGTAGTTTGATTTTAGACATACTTAATCAGCAAAACATCCTCCGCTTAGATGACTTAGGAATAGAGAGTAGAAAAGGAAAAAAAAATATCACTTTTAATCAAAATAGGCTGGCAATAAAATAGGTAGGCTATATATTACATGAATCTGATAGCTAAGAGTATAGGCATAAGAACTAGTGCAGAATGGTTTATTTGCATGGTAAGTAGCCTTTGTTATCTTTGTACTTCTGTCACTCTAATGTTAAGCAGTATGCATTCTGCTGTTACCAGGAATCATAATCTCCCACTGATCAGTGTTTCTGGACTGTTGTGACAAAGCCAGGGAAGTAAATATTGAGAAGATGTTAACTGTTGAGACTGTAGAGAGCAGTGATTTTTAGCTTGTGACACTCAAACTGCTGAAGGTCCATTTGAACTGTAAAAGGCAACTGAGAAAAGCAGGCCTGTTGTCACGATCAAATGGTCCACTTCGTTGCTGGAAAAGTGGTGGCTCTGCAATACAAGAAATATTGAAACGCCTTTGTTTAAAAGAAAGATGAAGAAGAATCATCACGACTGCAATGTGCAAGAAAATAGATGAGAGCAGAAATACTGAAGTACTTGTCTTACACTAGTACCTGACTTATTTAGGGGTTGGCCAATCATCAGTTTCACAGGGTGGGTTTTTTTGTCACTAATACCTTGTATTTAAACATTCTCTTTAAGAACCTCCCCTTGTTTCTGAAATGAGCTTTTTATGATTATTACATTAGATGGCAGAAAAATTGCATTTCTGAAAACCGCGTGTGCATATAGGTGGAAGCCTCTCCCCAGATCAGGGTTATTTGGAGTGTAGAAGAGTGTTTATTATTTTGTGTACAGATGTTTATTTTCTTTCTGAATTCCACACTGGTGCGTCTTTCTCTGCAAAATCAACACACCGCAGAGTAAAGCCTAGCCACTTCTTCAGGAGGAGGTGATCCGGTACCATTTCTATAAAAAGAAAAATGCGTTTGGCCAGTTCCAGCATTTTAAGTTTTATCAGGATCTCTTTTCATTATTTGCAGTTTCACCCCCAAAAAACAAGTTATCAAACCTGGAATACAATTTCAGCGTTAGTCTGGCAGTTACCTAGCCCAGCCCCTTTTCACTAAAGCCACTCTGCCAGCTATAGTTCTTTCCCTCAGGCCTACTCTTTCCACGCTCTGAGGAACCAGCTGCCCAGGCAGTTTTCCTAGGCTGTTCTGATAATCCCATCTATCTATTCTGAAAGCACCTGAGCTGCATAACAGTGTCCCATGGGGACTACGTATCTGTAAAGGAATGGACCGCCTTGCGATGGCCTGTCAAAGTTTGCATAGCTTGACTGCATGCATGTAGTTTTCATGTTATTTCCCTTATTACACCTTTACAAAATTAACATCACACAAAATTGCATTAAGATATCTAGGTTTGGAGGGGGCGGGGTTATGCATTTTGTAAGCTTGTTCCCAATGTCCTGGAATATGTAATATTTCAAAACTGAAAAGTATATTATTAAACATCATAAGCATTGCACCCTGAGAAAGCATGAATACATGCTTCAGTTCCACAGTGTATAATCTACTGAAAAGCAACTGGTAAACCAATTTGAAATAGTATACTTGAAAAAAAATATCACCTTTTGCAGTCTGTTCTTCTTCCCAGCCTTAGATCTCCTCAAACTCCTTTTATTTGCAGTTCCTAAGGACAAAAGGCTTATGTCATCACATTATACATGCACGCATATGTATTTCTTGATCTTCCATCCCTGTTTCCACCATTAATACAATTTTCCTTGAATATGTTTTTAACGCATTGGCTGGTTAGACAGTGAGGTGGGAGGTGAAATATTACTTATTCCTTGCAAGATTCCTTGCTGGCAGGAATTAGGTAAAGAAAAGAATTGGTGATAGACTCAGCTTTTGTTGCACGTGGGAGAATCTACCTCAGAGAAGGGGATCTTCCGTCAGTATTATTCCCTAATAATACTTTGTGTTAGGGACAGAGAATACAAGATAGGCAGCAGTAGAAATTCAGACATTAGTCCTACTGTAACAACAAATGTGTGCTCAACCTAATATGTATTTTCAACAAAAGCTGAAAGCTTTCTTTTATGTTTTGAGGAACTTGGTATTTCTAACAAATTTGGTGAAATTATTGGTAGGTTTTAATGCAGAAATCAGTTTTACAAATTAATAGTACACGTATGTGTATGGTTCTTTGTGTGTAGATATATGTGTTATATACACAGTGTGCTATCTTATTTCAGATTTCATAAAGATAATTGGTTTAATTCTTATGGTAAACTGGTGTGGTTTAAGGATCATATACTTCCATTCATGTGTGTAGTTCAAGAAACAGCATTAATCAGTCATCCCAAGATAAACCAGTACGTACAAAGGTTTGAGGACTTTTGTGAAACATTGTGGTCTTCACTTCTTCTTGTCTACTAAAATTACTTTTGTTAGTTTATTCCTAACTTTTTTAGATCTCTCTGGTATTTTCAAATGAGATGCCTGATCAGCTTTTTATGTACACACACGTATGTCATTACGTATGTCACTACATCTTTGTTTACTGTTACCTTGCTTATTGACTTACATGATCAAATTCTGCTCATACAACTGCAGAGCCAGACTAATACTTTAAAAAGAACTGTTGATTTTATTTGTTTACTTCAAATATGTGTAATGCATAAAATCTATAGAATCTTTACTATGAAGATAAATTAATAATATGCACATAACCAGAAGGCAAAGATGCTTCAGCAAGAATAATAGTACAAAAGAGGGACTTTTTTTTCCCCAGGAAAAAAACAGTATGTTGTAACAATAACTAAAGAAAGAAATTAAATAATTCCAGCTGTGGCCAGAATCACTTTTCATGTCACTTTCTATATAAGCAGCCATTAAGTCTGAAAAACTGGAATGCAGTTAAATTTGTTGTTAAGAGCCATCTTGTCAATGTGCAATGGAAATGTAGATTTTGTTAATTACTTCACAGTTTTTCTGAAACTAAGAGTATCCAGCGGAGAGGCTGTGCTGTGAGACTTCATAGTCTCTTTTCAGCCACACAGTTTATTTATTGTGATCATTGTGTCTGTGAACTACATGTACCTGTTCTCTCTTTGCTTCTGGGAGGGAACTGGTATTTAAGCTCAATTGAAAGGCCCTGAGGGAGGCGAATACTGTGCTTAAGGTGTATGAGAAGTCAGCATTGTCTCATGATTGAAGCAGAGAAAGGTGAGCGTTCTTCATATTTGCTGGTGCTAGGTGTGAAGAGAGTGGAGACAACTAGGAAGAAGTTGAGAAGCTGTAGCTGTGTGGTAATTCCTCTCTAGACAAGAAGCATCACTGTGCTCACTTTTAGTTCCCTATTTTGCTTTTTAGTACAGTTGTCATACCTGCAACACAAAGACTTTTAAATACCTCCAGTGCAGTACCTCCAGTGAGCAGCTGGTTAGTTTTACTAACTGGATGCAACAATGCAAAAAACCCATGGTGGTATTCTGCGTAGTGACAATTGTTGCTGTTCTTTTTATGTTCATAATGATCAAAAGTTTAAAAAACCCAGAAACTTCTCATTTACTGACTGTTAGATGATCAAATTCTGCTCTTATTTATACCAGTGCAGATCCAGGGTAGTGCTGTAAAAGTGCAGTTGATTTCAGTCATCCATTTCAACTGTATGTAACAGAGAAAATATTTAGAACTTTTACAGGAAGATGTAATATATACAATTTTATTTTTCAGAAGAGCAGACTGCTACTAAGGATGCTTCCCAGGAAGAGTCTGAATCAATTCCAGAGTACACAGCTGAAGAGGAGCGAGAGGACAACAGGTTGTGGAGAACAGTGGTTATTGGAGAACAAGAACAAAGAATTGATATGAAAGTGATTGAACCTTACAAAAAGGTCATTTCACATGGAGGTAGGAAAACCCTGAATGCATTTTTTAGATTGATGTGAAAAATTGATACTTTATTGACCATGATTTATTTCTATTTAAGTTCAGTTATCATACTGGCAAGGAGAGAGAGTTTATTTTTCAGCCACGGCTGAAATCAACCTGGCTTTTAATTCAGTGTGGCAATGACTAATGAGTATTTTAAATACAAAGCAATTTCAGGAGCAACAAATAAACTGATGTACATGTGTCTGTAACAATCTGGTCATTGTAGGCTAAAACTGTCTTAGAGTAAGAAAGAAAACTTCTGTGCTATAGAAAAAAAAAATGAAAACTTTATTCTGTGGATTTTGTGAAAGACTTTTGCATAAGGAAGTATAGTGCTCTGTGATTTGTTGAATGATGTATGTGGGTGCACAGATCTAAACAAGTAGAGTGGCGAAAGAAAAACATACAGTTTTCCCTGGGGCATCTATTCATCTGGCTAAGCTCCTTATGTTAGTTTTCTGCCATTTGTAGTTTGTCAGCAGATAGCACTTCACCAGCAACTGTTTAATGTTTTTTTCACATAATTTGTTAATGATTATCAAATAGCATATCAAAGAAAACATTTAAAGTAGGAAAACGACCTCATGTACTTGCTATATTGTCTCCTTCGCTCATCTGCTCCCTAACCTCCTCAGAGAATTTGTAGTTCTGGTGTTACTAACACACGTCTGTATAAATTAATTCAAATGGATAAATATTGCTATAGCTATTGAAGGAAGAAAATGAAGCAAAGCTTTTTAAGTGCCTTTTCCTTGGTGTCTCAGGTTTAGATTATCTTTGGTTTCTATATGTTTGGGGGACGCTGTTTACCAGCTGTTAAGTGAGGTATTAAGTAAGGATGAGTTGTTCTGTTCCTGCAAAAACTGAGGCAGGTAACTCAGAATCTCAGAGTTTATATGAGGATGCTTCTGTTACAGTGTTGCTGATCCATAACATCATTTAAAGGTAAACCTTTGGTTCCAGTAAATTTTCAGTGTCAAATTGCTATCTGGTAAAAGTGACATAAATAAATTATGCTTATTTATATTACCTGAGGATGTGGTCCTCAAATTTGCACATTTATATTAAAAGCAGATAAATGCTAGCCTACAGATGTTCACAGTGGCCAGTGTGCAGAAGGTTTAGTCAGAATTAATAAAGACATTTAAACCTCCAAGCATTTTCCTGCTGTAACAACACCATAACAACACCATCCAAGATTTATGAATGTGATGACACCTCAGACACAGTTTAGCAAACAGACACAGATGGCATAATTTAGGAAACAAACATAAAATATTTTGAGGCCTTGCTAATGGTGTTTATTTATATGGTTTTTGTATGCTGTGAACTAGTCTAGGTACATTTGCGGTGAAAACTGTCGCGTATAGTTCCTACTAGATGCTGATGTATAAATTTATACCAGCTTTTATGAAAAATAAATACCAGTCCATTTTAGTGGGTGGAGAAGTAGCTCCTAAGTGAGCGCTCCTTGACTCTTGAACAAGGACTGGTTCCAATGGCAGACATCTCTGATGGGCAATTATGAAGTACATAATAACGTACACATTGATGGAAGTCTAGGTCATTCAGCTTGGTTCTCAGTGTGAAATACTGAGGATTCAAACTTTACATGTCTGACATCTTGTTTTGTTAGGTCACTCAAACCTAAGATAAAGAACACTATGTTTCCTTTACTTTGAATGGTCAGTAACTTAGCCATTGTAAAAGAAACGGTGTGAGATGTAACAATAAGTTTGAGCCCACCACTGGCTAAATCAGAAATTTTGCCTGAAATCTAGCCATATCACAGTGAGTTAAGGACTGTGTTTATGAAGATGTGAAAACGAAATCATTTTGATGCACGAGTTACAGGAAAACTTTGGACAGCTTGAACAGTTTCTACGTCATGGCAGCTAGGCCTATTCTGTATGATGTTCCCTTTGGCAACAGACTGGTGTCTTTGGAGTGCTTTAGAGGGCCAGGAATCTTTCCTTTAATCTCAAGATTAAGAACAGATTCTTGCTAAAATTAGTTAATTGCAAGTCAGGGTAAGCATCTCTTGATGATTCAGTGATCTACTGAACATTCCTCCCTGCCAAACAACAGATAACACCAAATGCAGAATCTAGATGGTAGCCACAAAATAGGAAAGAGAGCAGACTTGGCAGTCTAGGTGTGAGATTGCCTTCCACATATGTTGATGGAGAAATTTCTTAGAGATTTGTCTCTGCATAGGCTGTTTGAGAATTTGGGCAAATGGCTTTGACTGGCTTCTAGTGATGAATTAAAAAACACTTCTCTCTTGAGTGAACATTCCTTGTCTACAAGCATGTGTAAGAAAAAGTGGCTTAGATTTATTAGTGGGTTTTTATTCTGTGTGCTGTGAGGTGGCATCTGCACATAATCATTTTGCTTTACATGGACTGCAAACAGTGCTGTGTAATTTAGTAGACACACCTGCCAAAATGTGCTCTTGCTGCTAAACTCCTGAGCCAGCTGGACAGATTGCTTTATGGCAGCATGACAGAAATTTTCCTGTCTTTTAAGGATTTTTAAATTTGTGGAAGGAAGGAAATCTCCTCCCTATTTGTAAAGCTGAGGGGAAAAAATGCTGCTTATTCCATAATGATTTTGCTGAGGGATGAGTTAAGATGGGATAAGTGAAATGAGTACTGTCTCTTTGAAAGTATGTGGGTCTATTGAGAAGACAGAAACATAACAGAGATTAGTATTAAGTGGTGAGTGTTGTAGGTGGACTTCTTTTCTCTTTGTTTCTTTCAGAAGACTGGTATATTCCTTCAGGTCAAACTCTTAAAAGGTGTAGGTGCTGGAAACAGGACTAGAGTTTCTTCCCCCTCCCTGTGTATATCCTTGCTAGAGAATGCAATGCAACTCTTTGAATTTGACCTTGAAAGTTTCACTGGAACACTGAAGTCAATCACTCAAACCTATATCTATATCTATAGATATGCTGTTCATGTGTACTGGATCCTAACATGAGCTGGAGCTGTGACACACCATGCTGTGTCACATGGTTTAAAGTGGTTAGATCCACATTGCCCTTTGGCTTGAACTCAACCCCTAATGCTGAACTCTTCTGTCTGTCCATGTCCTCCAACAGAATGGAGAGCAACACTGCACTGTGGGACTGGAGAAGACAGTGGATATATGCTGGGCTGCTGTTGTAAAGTGGCTTCACTAAATCTGAAAGTCCAGCTGTAGACTAGCTGGCCTTTGGAATTTGAGAGACAGTAAAAAAGCTCCTTCAGCATGCTGGGGAGACAAGGGATGCCAGGATCATGGAAGGATAGAGTTGAGGCTAAGGACAGAAAGATTCCTGCAGTGTCCAAATGATTCTTCAGTGGATGAGGTCTAGGCTAGCTAGCATTCTTGACTCAATGTTGGTATTGTCTATGTCAATACATTGACAATATGTATTATCAGCATATCCAATGCATTGTATTTTGTCAAATCTACCAAATTAAATTCAGAAAGAAAAAAGTCCAACATAATCCTTCAGCAGGTTGCTTTGCCAAGCCTTGCTGTGAAACAATATGGCTCAAGGCAGGAGACTTACTTCTGACGTGCACATTTTTCTCTCAGATACTTATCCTTCTTTTGCTCCCCTTTGTAACTGGGGAGGCAGTGGAGGCAGTGGTGTTTTCCTGTCCTTTAAGGAACAGCTGAGAACCTTGAACGAAGAGCGCCTCTGTGCATGTCCTTAGGACTGGCATAGCATTGAGATTAATCAGCTGTGATTCTCCTTGGTGTGGATGACTTCATGGGCAAGTGCCTTGGAGCACCCATTTTGTCAGGAATTCTGGATTCTTTGAAGGTCTCTACAAAGCTGTGTAAGAAATTACTTCCCTGACGTAAACGTCTTATCCTTATTTCAGCCAGCTGAGGCTCAGCTTAGGTGTTCAGTGAGAAAGAAGAAAACAAACTTGTCTTTCACTCTTCCCTGGTTAGCACACATGGATTGTGTATTATCTCTGTCTTTCCATAGAGAATTTTGCTTTCATCAGCTGGCTGCAATGCAAGAAGTTCTATAAGCATTTGAGTTAGGCTTAGATACTGCTCTCTAGTATCCAAAAAGTACTGTAAAAATCTTAAAATCTGTGAAAGTGTTGTATTGCTGCCGGTATTATCCTTTAATTTGGTTGGGAATGTTTTCCTGTCTCCGAGGGAGATTCAGGGCTTCCTTCAGAAACATTATCATCTTTCCCTCATGGTTGGTTTCTCCCAGCCTCTTTTGAAAGGCTTTCAACGCATTATCTAAGTATATCCAGCTTCTATCTCTGTGCATCATTAGTGCTATCTACCTACAACCCTTTCTACAGCATCTTTATAAATTGCCTCCTGATTGCATGTGTCTTTTAAACAAAACTTTCAATTGAAATGCAGGAATATTTTGTATTTATTATTAATAATACAGAATTCTGTAGCAGCTGCAAAGGGTTGTGGGGAATATTAACCAGCATTAATCCATCATGAAAAAAAGAGTATTTTTCTTTTGGGTAACAGGCAACTGTCCTGGACTCCAGAACAGTAGTACTGCAACTTTGAGGGTTCACAGCTGTCACTAGGCAATGGTGCAGCCCAGAGAATGCCAATATTGGACAACTGCAGTGTCCAAGCTAAAAAAAGTCTTCTGTACAAAACTTGCAGCAAAGGATTTAACCAACACCCAGGAGCTTTTAAGGTATAGTGGGGTGCAGCGATAATTGTAATATCCCGAGGCCATTGGAGCTCTGTGAGCAAACTCAGGTTGGACTGTGAGACTTTGTGAAACATCATGCAAAAGATGCAAGATAACAAATGAAGGATATTTTCTGTAGACCCTTATTCCTCAGTCAAAGGTGAGCATTCAGCACACGATTGCTGTGGAGAAGCAGTGAACCAGGAATTCAGATAAGATTGTATTGCTTACAAAGTAGAATAAGGGTTTTTTGCTGGTCTCTATGAAAAGTTTACTAATAGTTGTGCTAAGTGTGTTTTTCAGGAATTCAACATAGCTGACTATCCTATTTCCTTATCACTTGATGATAGTTTGTACTTTTTTGGTCTTCTTCAGCAGTAGACATAATCATTCTATTCCAGGACTTTGAGATTTCTTTTTAAATTTATCTTGTTAAGAGCCTTTGACAAAGATAAAAATGCCTTTTTGTTTTTTTTTCCACAGGATACTATGGTGATGGTCTGAATGCTATCATTGTGTTTGCGGCATGCTTCTTGCCAGACAGCAGTCGAACTGATTACAACTATGTCATGGAAAATCTTTTCCTGTGAGTGATATGGGAGCAATGTGACAGAGGCTTTCGTGTTAGTACTCATAATTATGTAGTGAGAGATAACCTGTCTAATTAATTAAGAGGTAATTTTGGTCATTAGAAGGGGAGTGATCTGAAGGAAAATAGCAGCTTTAGATAAACTGCTCAGTGGAGTATTTTGGTATTCTTTACCTACGCACCCTCCCAAATTAAGGCGTGTTTGTCGGGACCAAATCTAACTGTGGTATCTCCCTAAATGTCAAAGAATGCAGTATCTTCAGCTTCTTGGGCCTACACTCATTGCACTGTTTCACTGGTGATTTCCAGCCCTTGCTGGGAACAATCAGCTGGAACTTGCCACCAGACTGGTTTTCACTGTTCATTGTTTATTATATATTATCATGATGTGTATTGTATTTTTAATATATACTGTGGCTGTGTTTAGGAGTCACAGGACCATTTTGTGACACTTGTTTTAAAAATGCAGGGTAAATGACAGTTGCTGACACAAACAGCTCTGAGTATATTTCCTGACTCCAGCTGCTTCTGATTCAGTTATAAGTGGCAGGGGCGAGTTGGGCAGGACACAAATTTGACCACATGAGCCCAAATTTATCACAGGAAAATTAGTCCTAATAGCAACGTGGTTTGGCAGCCAAAAACTGTGAAGGCAGCACTCCCCTGAAGTGCCTCCAGCCACTTCCACTTATGGCTGTTAAAAAAAATTAATCATCCCAGCGTTTTCTGTACTAAAACCCAGCAAGTCATTTCTAAAGCCAGCAGAGGCCTGGCCTTTGCCCTTTGCAGCTTACAAAGCACCAAGAACACAGACACAGTCTCCTTAAAACTCCGGTCCTTGAAGATGCACGTGGTGACAGCCAGTGCCTTCAACATTGTGCCTTCATGTGAAAAACAAGATTGGGCGCTTTAGTTTCCGGTCAGACCAACAGCTAGCATTTGTCTGGTAGAGCCTCGAAGACACCCATGTCATCTACAGTAACTGATTTACACAACGCCCAGTGATTTAGAGGGGAGGAATTACTACAGTGCTTTTAACTTGATAACTAGGGAACAAAGCTGTGAGTAGCTGTGGCTGACATTAAATAGTCATTCTTTGACTTCAGCCAAGAGCCTTGTTCATAGATAGAGCCGGTGGTAAATGGACTCTGCAGGGAAAACCGCTTCGAGCCTTAAGAGACTTTTCCACATCACTTGAGGATATTGCCAAAGTCAGTTTTATAACTCGATGTCTTTTTCTGGGGTAGTAGTATAAGAGAGAGTTCAGGTTGGATGTGAAGCTTCAGCTTATTTAAAGGCTTATAGACTCTTGGTTCTCTGTAAGACAACAAGAAAAGGAAAAATCAGATCACCCCTTTCTTTTGGTTGTAGTCTTATTAATTGCATTGAAATAGAGGGAGTGCAACAGTTTACAATATATCCAACTGACACATTTAAATATTTGTGAATTCTTTACTATTGAATTATACAGGGGTCTGGAGAGACCTGCAAATCACTAAATCTCTTCTCATTTTTTGTACAGTATGTTTCTGATAATTTCTTCTAGATTATGCAGATCCACACAGAACATTCTGCTGTTTCATTTGTGGCTACCTGATACAGTCTAGAGATAAGAAGTTTTTTTAAAAGGATCACAACTTGAAAAACTGCACTTTGAAATTCAAAACCAATGCTTCTTGCTCTCTGAGTGAGAGAATTGTTCTAGGCAATGAGAGGAATTCTGTCCATCTTTTCAAATAATAAAGGAATTACTATTATTACAAAATAATAAGAAATTAACAGTTAGGTAAGGTTTGCAAGAGAGCTCAGCATCCCTAAAATGGCAAATGGTCTAATTCAACCCACAGTGAATAAGAGCTGTTGCGTATATAAGTGAGATCTGACTAAAAAACTAGCAGAGATTCCTTTTTGTCGTAATATTCCTCTTATTCCTGATGAGAAGTATGCATGATTATTCTTATTATAACTGATTATTCATAATATTCACAATTCCCTTTGCACCTAGGCAAACAGAGCCATTTTTCAGACTGTCTCTGTTTCTGTAACTGAAAGGCTTGTAGTGTTTTCAGAAGTACTTATGCACACTTTTCTGTATGTTTCAGTGTCTAAATGCCTTTAAAGAAGTTGTGCCCTATGGGAGGGGCTAATTTCATAACATGTCAAATAGTCAGTAGGTTCAGTTAAATTAAGCTTTTTGCGTCAGAGTGTCCATACAATCCCTTGCTTTGTTATTTCACTGTTAGACAGGAACCTTTACAAATGTCAGGCAAAAGCAAGAAATGTGCAACTGCGAGGCGAGGAACAGAGCAGTGAAAAGCATTGAGTGAGTAGTGATTTAGATGGGATTTTTCAAATGCATGGAAGTGGTCTGCAAATGGCTGCCTACTTTACACTCAGCTAAAATATCACTCTCTTTGGTGAGAACTAGATTTCGTATTCTTCTTTTACAGAAACTGCATCTTAAGGAATTTAAGGGTCAGATTAGATCGTGAGTCATTCCCATACACCTGTGAAAGGGGCCGTTATGCTCAGGGGTAGAGTTGCCTTTTGTAGTGAGCACTCAGGTATTCAGGTTTTTAAGGTGTGACATGTGATTTTTCACTGTAGTTTTTACGTACACGTGCCTTGGGGCTGGATAGTAGAGAGAACAGTTTGAACATTCCTGTGATGAACAACTCCCAAGTGAGGTAGGGACTACTGAAACTGAGTGGAGCAGCTGCATATGTAGTCCCGGACAAGAATTTGAAGCTACCCTTTCATTTGACTGAATACCGTGGTCTTCTAGGTAGGGTGAGTTTGGCCCCAAGAGCAGTGTTTTGCCTGAATTATCGTTGCCGAGCTGAGGAATTTAATAAGTGTTGGGAGTGTTTTGCTCACAAAATGAAGCGATGCCATGGGGTGCTCTGTCCCGTTGGAAGGCAGGCTGATGGACAAGTTTTATTAGCCTTGAGATTCAGTGTTTGTAGTTGGCAGCAACAGACTCAGTAGCAGTAGTGTGAGGTCACAAGAATTATAGACAAGTATCTTCTCCTGATCCTTATTAATTTTTCATCGAACAAACATGGCGGTTAATAGTGAAGAGAAGTTTCTCAACAGTTAATCTCAGAAGTTCCTGGAACTTCACATGGTCCTGCCACACTCTCCATTGCAAAATCTCATGATTTCATGCCCTTTTAAGAAAAAGCAAAGTCACCTGTGGGATTTGGAAACTCACTATGAAACTGTATCTCTGTAAGGAAATCACATATTTCTGAAGATGCGGATAAGACTGTGGTTTTCTAGTTATGCATCTACAGGTAGCGTGTCAACTGGTGCTAAATGTTTGCACTGGTTTAAAGGAAAAGAAAACACTGTCTTCTCTTGCTTAGTCGACCTTGATTTATTCCTAGTGGACTGATTTGGTTTGGGCTTAAGTGGGTAATGTAAAGTATGTGCTGACTTACTTCTGTACTTTTATCAGCTATGTAATCAGTACCTTAGAGCTAATGGTAGCGGAAGACTATATGATTGTCTACTTGAATGGAGCAACACCAAGAAGGAGGATGCCTGGACTGGGTTGGATGAAAAAGTGTTACCAAATGATTGATCGACGGTAAGTAGTATTTTTCTTTCTGATCCACAGCCATTATTTTAAACACTGTCCATTTCTGTTACTGCCCTGTATGACAGTGTTCACTGTATCTGATCTTTCTGTATGTTTTGTGTTGTTTTGTTTTTTTAAGAAACTGTTTCTTTTTTACTCTAGATTACGGAAGAATTTGAAATCATTTATAATTGTTCATCCATCATGGTTTATCAGGACAATTCTGGCTGTGACACGACCTTTTATAAGGTATGTGGTGAAGACCAGTGATTTTCTGTGTCCCTAAAAATACAGAAGCACCCTAAATCATCGAACATGGATGTTAGTCTTTCACTGAAGAGTACTCATTTTACAGTTCATGTTGGGATTTTGACAGTTGAAGCTGAGTTTCCTAAAATGAATGGAAAAAACCCCATGATTTCTAAGAGTATCTAGTTGCAGACATCACAGGCATGATATGGTAAACCTGTATGTGTGTGCAGAACTGGGAATTCAGTCCGTTAAAGTTGTCTTTGTTGCAAGTCCAGCTAAAAGACATGTAGAAAAGGGGTCTGCATGTAATGATAACCACCTCATAAAAAAAATCCTGGCTGCAGGGCAGATTAAGCTACAATTCTGGGTATAAAAAAATGAGCTGCTGCTCATGCAAGAGGACTGCCAGCACCCTGAGCTATTTCACTGTTTCCCAGTTCCAGAAAAGGTTCTATGCCACCAAGAAATAATGCTTTGATTATTAAAATAGCAAAGAAATGTTACAGACCCCGAAGAGCTCACAAGTTGTTGAAGAAGATGGGCAACTATGAAGTTGAAATCCTGAGATCGGGGAGAGCAGACTGACAGGCATGAGAAGGAGTTGCTTCAGGCTAGAGAAGAAGCATCAACTACAGAAGCAAATAACATACATCATGGCAGACCTCAGAGAGGTCTGCCCTCAGGCTGCTGCTGAAGGACACTGGTGGTGATGAGGACACTGGAGGTGTCTGTCACAGGGTGCTCTGTCCTGACAGGGTGACACTGGGATGGGGAAGCACATGAGTTCTCCCATTGCTGCCAAAGTGCGACAGGCAGAGTGTCATAGCGGAGCTTCTTCTTTCAGATGTGGTGTCTTTAATATCAAGTAGAAAGCAACAATTAAAAAACTCAGAATAACAGGGAAGCAATACTTGGAATTATCAACAGTCATGATGGGGATTCACTGAGTTGCATTTGGTGTCTGAGGTATTTTTGTTGGCATCCTATTTGCTCCCAGAGGAAAGGTAGGCAGTAAAATTTTAAAAAGTCAAATATGCCATGTATGTTTCATTAGTTTTTTACTCAGAATGACCATACTGAGCAGCAGCGACTAGAGGTTTTGCATTCCCAAACAGGAGAAAAGATTCACTCTAAACAGTTTGGCAGAGCAAATTAGCAGTACAAAACTTAGACACAATAGAGACTAGTTAAAACTGTCCATTTCAGACAAGTAGATTGAGTCTCTGTGCAAGAAGAAAGCGAAGTGCTAATGGGAGCTGAAAAAAGGTGGGCAGGACACATGGCCAGTGTGACTTTTGTGGAAGATGACATAAGATATTTGAACCCTCACCAGACAGAAGAGCACTATGAGAAAGCTGAGTAAAAGACTCTGAGAGGCATGAAAACAGAGAGTCAATTCAGTAAAAGGCAATGTAAGGAGATAGAAACTTGTTTAGATTGAAGGCCGATGGCTGTAGCTTAGTTTGCTAGCCCCAAGCTGTTCACCAAACTGCTGACATGCAGTGTGGGAATTTTAGAGTAAGAAATTAATTGGTCCCAAGGCAAGCAGAGATTTCAGTGAGGTAGATAGCTAAACATGAGCAACATAATTTAAATTCTATTTCAGCTGAGATGCAGGACAAAACAGTAGGAATTGAGGAACTGAAAGACAACAGAATGGCAAGGGACAGTCAAGTCACTGAGAGCGTACTACAGTCAGTTCTGCCTCAGAAACCGGCAAGGTCATTCAGGGGAGTCTGGGACTCAACTGATAAACATGAAACAGTTGCATGAATACACAGGAAGAAAGAACTAATGGTTGCAAAGACAGATCCTAGATACTCTTTATGGACCATATATTCACACTAGAGATCATCTTACCTGTGTTAGGTAAGAAATTAGATTTCCGATAAAACAAGTGTCTGCGAAAGATATTTGGTATTTGATGGAAATATTTAAATAATAGGAAGTTTACCACTATTGGCAGGACGCCTCCCCTAAAGTCTGAAGGAAACAAGGACTTCTTACTTTGGTCATGTATTTGGCATGCCCCTACGTGGATTCCCACATAAAGCAATTACTCAGAAATCAATCACTGGGGTAAAATTAATGGACCCAGGAGAATCCTCAAGTGGAAAAATGAACCCTTAAAAGATATTTTACTTTTTTTTTTCCCTTCCCCCCTCCCCAGTCTTTAGAAGCTTCTGCTTGGCTTGCAGCTGGCCAAGTTACTTTAGCTGTAGTTCAGACAATGCACAATATGATTAACATTTTCTATAAAATGCTAAGAATTATCAGTATGTTATCATTACTTTGACTAGACAATTGTGAGTGATTCATGCATCTTAAAACATGATCATTGGCCTGCTCTGGTGTGCGTGCCTAGTGATACTAATCTGGTACAGAGACATGTTAAAGCGGATGAGTTTAAACAACCATTCACAGTACCTTCGTGTATTCCTATTTCAGTTGTCTCACTTTACCTTATTAGGAACATACATATGGTAAGGGGAGGGACAGTAACCTTCTGCTCAGAGCTGTTTCAGAGGCTTCATGTTGTCTGGTCTTACCCCCAAATCAGCAGTAAATAGGAAGAATATGCTCTGTTTCTCATGGCCTACACCTAAGAACATTTACGGTTAATGTGCATTTGTCACTGTTACTGATGTTAAAAGACTAAATGCAACCACAGCTAAATTTGGAAAATTGCTTTATGAGTTAAATGAGAAAGACAGATTTCTCATAAGCTGATACATATCAACTGATTGAGGTTAGACAAGGGAATAGCCTTTTTTAAGTGTGTTTTCTGAAAAGTTTTGCCTTTTTCTGAGTGATCGTTTCTCAAACACAATAAAGGATCATATAGCACAGCTAAAATAAACAAGGGAAGTATTTCCTCATAATAAGGCCCTGCAGTAAGAGTAGGCATGCGCATACAAAATCAGATATGTGCTCATCTAAACAAATGAGGAAGTTTAGTTTTACTATGTTTGATTGACAATCAGTGTCAAATATAAATGCTACTTCGTCATGAGCACTTGATGTCAATTCATCATGACCCCATTAAGTGAATGCTTCCCATCTCCTTTTACATGTAAGTATGCTGAACAGGGTTTGATTCTTTTCAGAATTTTAATACATCTCCTTCAAACTGAAAAACTGATCGCATTGCCTATTATGTAGGCATTACAATTTATAATGTTGTCCTAAATACTGTAATTCAGCCTAAGCATGGAACAGCGAAAGGTCTAGACTTGATTTACAGGTCACTAGAACTCAGGTATGCTCATGATCAGCTGAACTCTGTAATTGAAATACAAACAAGAAAATGCTTAATTATTTAATACATTAAGTTCATGCCTTCTCTTTTTTTAATATATCGTAAAAGGTTTTGGGGGAAAGCCAATTAACATGTTGTTTCTGTGTCCCAGCTCTAAGTTCAGCAGTAAGATACAGTACGTCAACACATTGGCAGAGCTCCGTGAGATGATTCCAATGGAATACGTGCACATACCCGACAGTATTGTCAAGTAAGTGATGTACAGTAAGCCTGTACTTGTTCTAGCAGCAATTATTTCCACAAACTAATAATAATGTTTCAGAGTCTGTAAGAAAAGAAGAAAGCCGCTTCTTGATATTGTTACACATGCTTTTGTGTTATTCCACAAGAATTCCACTGTCAAACTCAGAAGCAGGAAATCACTGTGTAATCGAAACACAAAACACAATAAGTATATACTCTTAGGGGAACCAGTGTTTATAGGAAGAGGAAGGTTTTGTACTGGACCAAATGGTACTGCTGGTAAAACAAAGAAAAACTTTTATGCTCAGAGTCCCTTCATCAGTGCCGTGACTATGTAACTGAAAGACAGTGGTTCTGAACTCATGCTTCTTATGTGTAAAGGTTTTTTAAATGCAGGTATTTCTAAAGGAAAGATACCTACTAAAACTACTGTAGGAAGTTGATTTGAATTGCTCATCTCAACTGGCTTTTTTTCAGACCTGAAAACAAAACACTGAAATGGTATGCCAACACTGAAAACCTTGAAGATCAATCATGTGGGTCATTATTAAAAAGATAATGCTGCTAAGGAATGCTTTTCTATTATTATTCTTTTTATCAAATGTCGTAGGTTTTGAACAGGCAAGCATGCTGTACTAGAAAGTATTTTGATGAGTAAATACACAAGTATGATTGTCTTTCCCTTATGGTTTGTCAGTGACTAGGTATGAAGAACACTTCTTTTGGAGCTGTCATAGATCTCTTCAACCCAGGCAGGAGTTTTCACACCTGCCTCACAGTAGTTGCCAAAGCAGCAAAATTTCCTTCATCGGGCTGGTGGTTGCTCTGATACTCGTGGTGTAACTCCAGGGAGCAAGTGGGAAGCTCAATTCTTGCAGTGGCACTTGTAAAAATAGTAAAATACGGCCATGAAATCGGGGATCGTAGGGACTTTAACTCAAATTTATTTGCTGCTGTAACTTTAGAGATGGAGTGATGCTAAGAATGCAGAGCACAGAGGTCACTGGTTACCTGATAAAGAGATGTCCAGAACGTTTTAACATCCCTAAAATTTTTTCATCCTCCCTCCATCCCTTCCTCCTTCCCTCCTTTCCTCTTCTAATTCCTGTAAACATTTTAGTTTCTTGTAGTTCTCTCTGATACAGACCTTAACCTGTTAATTCAGTGCATTTCTCTGTTTCTACTGTTACACTGTCTGTAGCAGTACACATATCTGTGTTACACACATCTTTTCTTCCCTGTGGACTGAAAATTGTTTGGAAAGTGCATTCACCTCTCAGACCAAAGGTGAAACGATCACAGCACCAGTATCAAAGAAACTTTAGGACTTAGACCTTAAGGAATTTTAGGGAACTGCCTAGTTCATGTCGTCAGCAGCCAGATGAGAGATCATGATTTTGCCGAAGAAAAAAATCGAAAGGTGACAAGTGTGCCCATTGGTGGCAAAGATTTTCGAGATGTCGTGATACGAAGGTTTAGTGGATGTGTGCATTCAAGGCACAGCGAGTAGTTATTCCCAAAGGAATTCCACAGGTCAAAGAGCCGTGTTCAGCTGATAGCTTCCCTTCTGCTGCAAATTGAGAAAGATTCCTGTAGCAAAATAAAATTCAGCTTTCAGCTTCATCATTGCTCTACTGACAAGAACAGAAATACCACTATGGTCACGAGGAATCCCATCTGTAGAACGTACATAGGGTTATGTCAGGATTTGGGTTGTGTGGTCGGTTGGTAGTTTTGATGGAAGTGGGATGCACTGTGCCTGTGGTGTCATATGAACTTGTACATCTTTTCTTTTCCTTCGCCCATTCTTACCTTGTAAGGTATGATGAAGAGAAGTGTATTAAGAGAAGAATGAGGTAAAACTTGCTTTCTAGCCCGTGCTGCTGCTCATAATGGAGTGAATCTGTGTGACAGCCTTTCACCTGCAGGCGACCTCAACAGCTGAATGAGAGAGGACTTGCAGTGATGTGGAATCTTACTTTCCCCTTCAAGCTGTTGAGATCAGCCTCCCTTGTAAATAAAAACTTACTCAACTGTAAACGTCCTTGACTTGGCCCAGGCTGCAGCTAGTTTAATACTATCTGATACAGCAACTGAACGCTTTCAGCTCTGTCCACTGGGCATGCCGCAGATCCCTGCTGCTTTTATGTTTCTGCCTCCAAATGAGCTAAGTAAGGAGTTACAAATTAAAGGTGGGTTGAGCACAAGGATAAACGGCATCATACTGAACTGAAGAGCTGTAGGGTCAGTGCATAACACTGGGTGGCTATTTTAGACGCATGTACTATATTTGTTCTTTGCTCTGCTATTGCTCTGCTTCTCTCTTACGCTCTGCTTGCTTCTTTGTTTCTTTATATCAATAACTTTTACTCATGCAGACTGGATGAAGAGCTGAGGGAAACTTCAGAAACAGCTAAGTAAGATAGCTTTCAGCTCAATGCTGGCATTATATTTACTTGGTTCGCAGGAATGGATTGAATGCAGTAGTACGTTGTGTGCTTGGTACAGCAACCAACTCGTAGTTTCAATTACTGTGTAAGTTGCCACATTTGTGAATTGACTTCCCCTCTCACTATAAGCAGCCTGCCGTTGGGCCTCAGTAAGAAATGATCATGCCATTACACTATAAAAAACATTTTTGATATCTTTTGATGATTGTTTCTATAGTCACGGGGAGGACTGAAATCACTTTTTTACTCCATTAAAATGGTTCATTAGACATTTCCTACCCTTCGCCCATTATGTCAGATGATTCATAAAGTTTTTAGGAAATAGTTCTTTATAAATATTATTTTTTACAATTTACTAAATTAAGGATAGCTGTTGTACCTCATTCTCAGTTAGGGTAGGTGGGTAACTTTTCCTGTCTTTCCAGTGTTGATTGGATGGGCCAGTGGATTAATATTTGATAACAGTGTATTGTTTATGGTCAATTAATAAATCAGTGTCAGCTGATGATCAGATACTTTAAACTTGTAACTCTGTGCTTTGACTTTAACACGCTGAGGCAGTATGGTGTTACGTACCATAGAAATCCTTGACTGGAAGGACACAATCCTTGACTGACTAAGCACAGCTTAGAAAGGATCCAGTGCACTTTTTTCAGCTGTGCGTCGCACAAGATTCTGGGGAAGGCAGCTGCATCTGTTGGTTCTAGTATGACATTCTCCCTGCGGTTTTTATAACAAAAGGTTTTGAGTTTTTGAAGATTGTTTTCAATCTTCTTCCTTTAGCGCTTTAAAATTTTTATCTTACCACTTCTTCTTTATTGTATTTTTTTTCTGAAGTTTCTTCTTTTGCAGTACACGTTTTCCTCTGATTCTCCTGAGATTAGCTTTTACAACAGCCTCAGAAAATACCTAAAACACTGGCCACTGCTTTTTGATTCTAGCAGTTGGACTGCCCAAGAAGCAATAAATTTACATAACTAGTTATCTGATACCACCTGAATATTTTGTTAAACAAAAGAGGCCCACCCAACCTTGAAATGCAACTTCTGTCCCTTCTGTTCAAACATTTTCAAACTCATTGTAGTATATGACAATGAAAAGTCTGTGGAAGAAAGCTGCTTTCTTGTTACTCCTTTCATTTAAAAGAGCGCAGACTGCAGCATAGCAAGTGAAAGGGGAACTAAATATTCATATGAGGCATCACTGATTATTGTTATTGTTGGATGTATGAAGTCACTGTAGTGCATTTCCCTTTCCTAACTTAAAGAAAGAGCTTAAAAATTTATTACGCAAAAACTAATTTGTGTTGCAGGCACTTAGCTCACTACATTCCTATCGATAACTTCTGTGTGTTTGTACTGTCAAAGATACTCACTACAGTTAGTTATTACATCCCCCAAACTTGATGTCACTTTTAAGAAGAGAAAGAAAGAAACACAGAGGAAATGCTTACTATACCTCTTTTTCCTTGTACCCAGAACTAGCTGCCTCTCAAACGACCCAGAAATGACTTCAGTGGAACAGGAGTAAGAATTTATGCCTAATACTGTCGTTACATTTTAACATTATTTTACAACCACGCTTCTAGGAACTGAGGCTGGGTAGACTCCATAAAGCTTTTCGGAGACCTGACTGCTTTTATAGTTACTTTCAGGAACTCGATTCAGCATATGCATGCACAAAAAGCACTGAAGTTAGGATTTATTATATTTGCATTGCAGATGTGTTCAAAGCGTCCTCGACCATTTCCAAGCAGATAGAATTCCTAGCCTGAGGATAATTAGGTTAAGTTATGTGAAAAACAGATAGAAAAAGTGCAACATGATCAGAGTGAAGATGGTCCCATGCATTGTCCTCAATTAAAAGTGGTAAACTCGCCATCCTCATTCAGAGATTAAAAAGTCTTCTATTTTACTTAGATTTCCGGGGTGTGTTCTTGATGTTTTCCTTCTTCTTGCTTTTTGTGCTCCTCAGCTTCTTTCACAGTTATTTCCCTGCCTAAATCTCTGGTACCTTTACATCTCTTCCTTCCAAAGCTGGGCTGGTTCCCTTGGAAATGGGAATGTGTCAGTCCTCTGGCATGCTGTTCCTCCGTCTGATACCATAACCAAAGCCTGCGAATGGAAAACCCTGCACTGCTCTGTCTGTGCGTCGGTGAGGGTGTTTGTAGCTGCAGCGTGTCATGCAAGCGCTAGCAGCTCGTCGCTAGAACAGCGTGTGAGGAGGACTAGCCACTGCGGCAGCGAGGGTATCCCCAGCCAGTGTGTACAGGGGAGGGGGGACGGGGACTTTGCTGTCCCTCCCCTTCTGATTGGTATGTAGAAATACATGGTGTCTCACACTGGAGTCTTCTTCAGGAAGCAGCGTGTAGTAAGCCTGGCTCCTCAGTAAAAGATTCCATCAATAATATGAGTATTAAGCGGGCAAATAATTCCTCAAGCAGTTGACATAAGATTTCTGAGCATCTCTTTTTTTTTTTAACTTCTCAGGCACTGTTTATTCTATAATGAGTCAACATCAGAACTGTTTTTTTTTAAAGTACGAGAACAGAAAATAAAGACTATTTATTTATGATTTTGGCCTTTTTGTGGCTTGAACAATTTTCCTGTTTTTCTCAAAAGAGAAGCTGGACAGCAAAAAGCAATACGAGAAGAGAATTTCTATTTAGCTTAAACTAAATGTAGTTGAGGCCAAATGAATGCTAATTTCTGCTATTTATTTTCTCTGCATAAATATGAATCTGTCTTCAGAAGCAGCAATAATTTTACTGTGGTCATAACACACATTTCTGGTGTCATTTCTTCAGGAAATAGGATTTCACATGTAAATGCTTCCACAATGGTAACAGCAGTTTTACACAGACTTTTCTGCTGTGCGCTTTCTGCTAAAACCTCTCTGGAGTCTGCCCAGCTCTTAGTTTGCTTCTGTTGTCTTTGTCATATCTATTCCAAAGGCTTTTGTCTATTGTCATGGTCTCTTGTGTTCCATTTTGTTCAACTTCTTGCACTTCCTCATAACTTAAAAAAATGAAATAATTCACAGTGAAGAACCTGTGTGTTCTGTAACAGTTGATAAATATTGAGGGTGCTTTAAATAGTTATGTACTCTGTGAGGAAAATTGTATTTTGATGCAACGTTTACAATGACAACTTCTTATTCTAAAGAATACTTGTAAAGTGTTTGAAGACATGTGCTTGGCACTAAATGGCAAAACTATACTTCCAGAAACATTTTTAGGGGCACCAGCAGTGTATCTTTCCACATCTGGTGTCTACTTGAGATTGGCATTGCTGGGAAGGTAGTTATTAATTTCGGTAAAACAGTAACAGATTTTATTTATGTTTGTATTTTCTATATATAGTAGATATGATGTGTGTAAATTATTTGACACCAATGCATTTTAGTTAATTGAGAGATGAGGATGCTTGGTACTTTGGGGGAGCTCAAGATCGTGCAAATGACTAGCCATGTGTTTTGTAGCACTGATTTCTTTTTTTTGTTGTTGTTCTTTTCTGTTTGTTTGTTTGTTTGTTTTCTTTAATATATAGCATTGACATGACCCTGAAATAAAAGCCACCACGGCCAGGCATTTGAAGAAGAGGATTCACTTGGATTTTCATCACCCAGACACCCATGACCACAGTGTGCAATAGGCAATTTGAGTTCATTTTGTTTGGTTTATGATTTTTCTGTGTCATTCAGCAATTCAAGAAGACCAAAAGGGCCAACCCTGTTGCCATGGAAACAGCAGAATTTTGGGCCTGGTTATTTTTGTGTTTTCAATAAGAGAGTTTTCATTAGGAAAGCTATATCATCTAGCATTGTTTCTGTGTGTGTGTGCAAGTTCTGTTTAAAGGATACCATTTTACCAACAGTGTGCCTCATGAACAAGTCAATGAGGACGTGGATTTTTGTTTCATTTTTGTCTTCAGCATATTAATGTTTATGCATAGCTGAACAGAATAGTTGTTATTGTTACAATAAACATTAGCTTGGTTGTGTCACAGAGCAGCAGCAACTTTGTTATTTAAAAATAATTCTAGAAAATGATGCAGGACTTTCTTGAATTTGTCTGTTTCTTGCTGTCTGAAAAGTCTGTCCATATTCACTTAACCCGAATTTTAGTCAGTCACAGAAAAGACTGGTGCACTCAAAAAATAATAATTAATCATCAAGCAGACTTCCCAGAGGACAAATGAGTAACTGAAATTAATTCTATTTTAATAATTTAGTTTACTATCTTTATTTTAGGGATAGTTTTTATAGAAGCAGCTAATCCTATAAATGATTGTCATATGTTCTAAAAGCTTTGGAGCATTAATTTGTTATTGTTGTTTTTTTAAATCTGTTTTTCCAGAACTCTTTTTTTGAAGTTACGAGTCTTAAAATGGCATCCTAACTCCAATCATAAAGGCTGTTCATGCTGTGAATATGAAACAAATACTTAGTATTTCCTACTAACAACTGAAGGTTAAATGTATCAATCTACAGTTGGGAGTCAAAGTGTTGTTCAAAGTGTATCTAATATATTTTTAAAAAAGTGTTACAATGCAGGTTTTTGTCTGTGTCATAGAACACAGCAGTAAAAGCATGAAAAGGAAAAAAAAAACCCTAATAATTTCTTGTTTGCTGCTGTCCTGTGTACTGGCACAAAAGACATGGCAGTGTAAGTCCTCATATTCATTGGGAAATAACTGCAGTCTCTCAGTCCATTCTTCAGCAG